ATAAATAAATAAATAAAAGATTGAGGACCTCTGGTTTATAGTTTACTGAGGGAAAAGATAAGAGGGAATACTACCTATTTTACCTTGAACTCCTGAGTGAAAAGCCCTGATACAGACATATCTAACTAAACTCCCCTAAACTCTGATGAAGATGACAAAACATTTGGAAGCCAACCCATAAGCTCGGAGAACAAACCTCCACCATCATATTTAACTATCTGATTTATATAGTATTTATGTAGCATATATTAATCTTCTATAGTTTAAATTACATGTTTGAGAGGGAGTATGATAAAGACGGAAAAAAGAAATTGATATTGTTTATGTATACAATCAAAAATATAGTTTTCAACAAACATGTTAACAAAATAACCTACCTTTCTTTGGGAAGACCCTGCTCTAAAGACAACCCATAGTTTGGAAATCATTCGAGCACTATTTCAAAACTATTCAGCTTAAAATGGAAATGTTCATAAAGCCTCAATAGTAGGTCACTGCAGCCAGCTGTCTGCATCTATTTAATAGGAACACTGGCTAAGTTATCCAAAGTATAAATGTTCTACAGAAGATTTAGACATACATTTTTAATTCCAGTTGGTGGGGACTGTTACAATTTGGGCTTTTACATCCCTGAGGAAATTGACTTGTGGCATTACAGGTTTGCGAACAGAATGGTAATGAGTGGAAGTAATTAAAAATGGCTGCTTCAAGAATACTGCTTCAGTGAATTGCTCCAATAAACTGCATTTTTGGGGGAGATACAGTTTTCCAGTACATACTATCTAAGACTGAGTATTGGTCAAGCTCTATTTTAAAGCAAGAATATTTTTCAAAATTTGTGAACATTTAGTAAGTTCAGAGCAATGTTAATGGTTTCCCAATACTAGTTAAGCAGAAACAATTTAGCCACAAACAATATTTTTAAATTCAGTATCCAAATACTCAGCACAAGGATCTTATATGCTGGAGGGGTGAGACAGGTCACTCTCTCCTGCCTTCTCAGTGTTAAACTTGTTCCATAATGGTTTCTTTGCTGGTCTTCCATTGATTCCCAATGGGAAATTACACTATCGTTACTTGCCAGTTTGCCACCACCTTCCAACTTCATGACCTAAGCTGCTAGGGTTACTAAAACAACACCAGCTGCTTCCAGCTTATGATAAATGAATATAACTCTGCAAAATATAAATCTTTTATTGAAAAGTGGATGGGAGAAGACAGGAGATTCTTGAATATGTCAAGGTAACAAGATTTACCAGATAGAAAAAGAATAGGAACAGGATTACTATGAGAAACAATCATATTTCAATCTGCATAAGAGGATACAAAAAGCCAAAATAACCCATTCGAATAAGGCTTGCTTGGCTTACAGTGTTTCCTGATTTCATGATGTGCAAATGAATGGCTTGGTACTGGCTATAAAATACATTGTCGATCATGAGCTGTGATGGTTTTCAGTTGGGTGCAGACTGAATGAAAGGTTTCCAAAAACAGCGTAGCTAAAGCTGTACTGTCTTTGGAAACCTTTCCTCCCTCATCTTTAAAGTGGCTAAAGCTGCATCGTTTTGGGAACCCATAGCCACATATGGGAAACATTTGCCAGACAAGCTGGGCATGAAGTTTGGTGCGGAAAATTGGGAGACAAGGCTCTGAACAAATAAATACTTGCTGGCGTTTGCTGAGGAGCAAAGGAATGCTTGCTGAGGTTGGTTGGGGTTCCTGGGGAGTGGTAAGCAGCCACAGAACAGCACGGTTTATGGCTGCTTGCTGCACCACAAGACAGGATGCAGGGTGGCCAAAAGAGCACAGATGGGGAGAGACAGGCAGGTGGGGGTAATTGAAGCACCCCTATGGTGGCAAGTGTGGGCAAGCTGCCAAGCATTTGAAATTTGATCATGTGACTGCAGGGGCACTGCAACAGCTATAACTTGGGGCATGACTCGTAAATCCATTTTTTCCAGCGCCACTGAAAAATTTTGTAATTCTGAATGGGCGTTGAGAGAATAGTCATAAGTCACAGACTACCTATATATTAAATATGGTAGATACTGGCAACTTTTAATTCCTCCACAGCAAGACTAGGGCTGGAGGACCAGGCATTCTATCAATCTTTTTGCAGATTTCGGCTGACTATGCAAGCTACTGTCTGATGTTTTGTTAAATGCTTGTATCGAAAATTCTGACAACAATCTTGGCAGATAGCCCTATCGATGATTTTACCTTTGATTGACTATCAGACAATGCAGTCTGGTTTCATAGGAGCCCTTTAATTCCTCTTATATTTAATTTGAGGAATTAAATTTGGCCTATCTTGCTAGGCAACTGAAAGACATTCTGGGCATTAAAATGCATGAGCATAAATTATCATTATATGCTGCTTGTATATCTGATCTTATTGTTGATTAGAAACATTCCGTACCAATATTTATTAAAATAGTACAACAGACAGGAAATTACTAAGTTACTCAATTAACTGGATTTAATCTCATATTCTTCCTATATAGGCTCTAATGCAGACATGTCAAACTCGCGACATCATGTGACTTCGCGCAACGTATTGGGACAATTTTGCCATTGCCAGCAATGGGGGGTGGGCCCGGCTTCTGGATGACGCGTCCGACCGGGGGCCGGCAGTTTGACACCCCTACTCTAATGTATTTATGGAAAATTAAATATCTTATAATATTTCTCCCAGAAGCAAAATATCTTTATGTAAATGTTTTAAAATATTTATCTTAGATTAATGTTCATATAAAAAGATGGTAAAAATCTTGATTACTTAAAAACTGACATATGAACTCAAAAGGATTCACAAGCTGTGGTGACTTCAGCAAACGTATTATCATATGAATAATGTTCTTATATGTTTACATCTTGTTTGCACACACAGCTCATTCATTTGACATATAAAACAGCATATTACCCTTTTTGTAACAATTAAGATTAGAACAAGTCAAATTATTAAAATGTGATTTAAAGTTTGATTACCTATTCTAAAGCTGGTGCTTGTGACTTCCCATTTCACATGCAACACTAAACTATAATTTTCTTGAATCAAAATCTGTAGACAAGGTTATCTTAAAGAGTTTCCACCCACAGGCAGAAGTCTTACTTATATCTTGGCATATTGAATTTGAGGCAGTAATAATTTTCATAAACCACAAGTTGTCAAGTACAAGAAATCAGAAACCAGAGTTGTTCAAATGAGTACAGGTTTATTTCACATCATCTCTAAACAAGATTCTGAACTACTAACGGTCAAGGCAAATTGGCAGTAGATAACAACCAATGGAATTCAAGAGGGCTGGACTTATATCTCTTGTGGGTGGGAAGGGACTCCAAACTGATGATGCACTCGATCCCTCCCTTGGGCTCAGCCTGATGATCTCCTACACAAATTTGATCAACTGAATGCTTTACATATCCATTTTAATTAGGAAAGTGTGGGCACTATTTTAAGGTATTTCCTACCTCCAGACATATTTGATTGTTTTGCTGACTGAAAGTTCAGAGTTTGTAAACATAATAGAAGAAATATAGAATGGGAAGTTCTCAAGTCAAAAGCCTCAGATCTGATAACTGTATTTAATTTTAATCCCTTGCATTCTGTATCTCCCTTCTCGATTATGAAAATTTGTTATTTATAATTAGTGAGGTTCCTGGTTGAAAAAATTACTGCTTCTGAATTTTTGATTCAGATATGAAAAATTGACATCATTTTATGGTAATGTTTTTTCCCCAAGCCTCCATTATCTTAATCATGTGGACAGCCATCTAGTAGAAGAAAAATAATCATTACCAGTTGTTTATAGTAGCAGGTGTTAGGTTTAAAAATATAGTGGCGTGGTTATTCTGCATTTACAAACATAATCAAGCTGCAGAAATTTATTTAGAAAATATTGAAAAAGCAAAAAGCCTGCCTGAACCTATGAAAAGCTAAATTATTTCAAGTTTTGTTTTAAGATTGATGAAGCATTCAAATACTTATAGATCATATAATTCCAAATTACTCTAAGTAGGTTATATTCACAAAGTTCCCCAGTGCAGCTACTATAAAAATGACAATATGTAAGCAGCAATAGGCAATCTGAATTAAAAGTAGATTAAAACAAATTTATCATTAGAACAATCTGAGTTTAATATTTTTTGACTTGCTTATGAATGATTTCCTGTTTGAGATGAGCAATGATGTGGTTAAGTGTGATGATTTCCATTATTCTAAAATGGTTAGTGCAAAAAAAAAAATCAATTTTGGAAAATGGACATTAAACTGGTAAATTAATTCAATATGAGAAAATACAAAGTGAATGGTGCTGATCCATAGTAACAGTAATAATAACAATATTCATGTTTCAACTTGGAACAGCATCTAAATTATGACCATATATTTATCCCAGATTTTTGGGAAGTATTAAATCTAGTCAAAACTATCTGGTAGGCTATATATTATTTTTTCATATAAACTGGTATGCTTTAAGCATATGAAAAGAGAAAATGAAATAATGGTTCAGAGTTTGCTTTTGTGAAGGCAATGTTTGGGGTTTATTAAAGAAGGAATCCAAAATAAAATTATAGGTAACATGATGCACAAAAGATTACACAAATCCCGCAATATCGTGTCAGGTTATGATCACTAAATCTCAAAAGGATGATTTAAGAGCTAGACAACATCCCTACAAGAAAAGATTAGGTAAGATACTAGACTGTTGCCTTTCAGATCAAGCCACAGATCCGTATTGTATCCAATATGGAGCTGTAAGATGTTCTAAAAATCTGCGTATCAGAATATGCTTGTATCAGTATATTAGTTTCCAACTTTTTCATATGCACACAGTCAAAACAATTGTTGAGCTCCAGAATCAAACTGATCCCTTTTAATACATTTATAAATGAGAAATGAGAACTATCTGGAACTGAAATTCTAAATTTCTTATATATATTACTAGCATAGTGATACAGAGACAAATATTATTACTTGTATCCATGTTTCAAGTCAAAAATTAATTTAATAGTGCAGAAGTTAACTTAATAGTGTAGATAATATTTGTTATTATTTAGCAGGGCTACCCTGATGTTATTTAGTGAATTATCATGTGGGGGCCCCAAATCACTTTGTTGAATCCCTAAATAAATGAAATAACAACATCTTAGAGCAGAAAGAGACAGACTTCAGATGTTCAAGATCAATTGTATACATTGTGGTGTGTGTGTTCCCTACAAATCCAAAGGCCACAAACAAGAGGTGCAAAATAATTGTGGCTGGGAATACTTCTAGAATTAAGGAATAAGGGAGCTTCAGAACTTATGCCCATCCTATAAATCTGTTTTCTACAGCAGAATGATTCTCAAAATATAGCTATATAAAATGAACAAAGTTCATGCCTTTCTCTTCCACTGCTATGCTTTCATTTAAAGCAAGGAGAACTGTAGGTTTTGTTAATGATCTACTGCAAATCACGGTGAGAACTGCCAATGACAACTCCAATCTGTCATCTGCCTTCCCTGCTACAGAGCTAAAGCCATGATTCCCAGGTAGCTGGCAGGAAAATGGCTGTGAAATAATGCTGAATGTGGTATTTATAGATTGAAAAATTTTCATAATTCATGCTGTGATAAAGGTTTATTTGAAAGAAGTAGCTGACAATTTGTAAATTAAATATGGACGGATACCTTGTGCTTGCAATGCTTGGCGATTCTGCTCCAAGCCGACATCTTTCTAACTGACTGGCAACAATTTGTCTTTCCACTTCAAGTTCTCTGGTGAGTCTTTGAAATTGGAGTTCCTGTAATCAAAAAACAATTTGAAATATATTTAGATAGTGGTCAAATAAAATAAAAACTGGTTCACACATATGAAAACAAGATTCTACTGAGATAAATGTGAATTATATGTAAAGCACTAACTTCTCTTTTATCTATAAATGAAAGTTAGGACCCATGGGTAAAGAACAGAGTTTCAGCGCTCAAAAGTTGAAGCCTGAAGATTCCCAGCTCCTGAAAAATACCAGGTGGTAGGATATGCCACACCTATTCTTGGTCAAATAGCCTGGATACATGACTTGAAATAAGTGTGAAAACACAAGCCTGAAGATGACGAATGGGACTTCGTCGAAACGTCGCCAAGACATTTCCAATTTTACGCGGGAGAAAACCCGAATAACCAAATACATACACACACACACACACACACACACACACACACATATATATATATATATACACACACACGCACACACATATACGTTTTCTGAGTTTTTCGCGGGTGTTTGTATATAGGTCTTTGGTTGTTCGGGTTTTCTCCGGCGTAGAATTGGAAGTGTCTTGGCAACGTTTCGACGAAGTCCCATTCGTCATCTTCAGGCTGGTGTTTTCAGTTTCGTGCTTGGAAGTGTCTTGGCAACGTTTCGACAAAGTCCCATTCGTCATCTTCAGGCTGGTGTTTTCAGCTTCGTGCTGAAAACATGTGTGTGTGTGTGTGTATGTGTGTGTGTGTGTGTTTTCTGAGGTTTTCGCGGGTGTTTGTATGTAGGTCTTTGGTTATTCGAGTTTTCTCCCGCGTAAAATTGGAAGTGTCTTGGCGACGTTTCGACGAAATCCCATTCATCATCTTCATTTTTCCTACTATAAAGTTTCTGCCTATTAATTTTTTGGTTACAGAATGTACAATAAATTCAGTAACTGTCTTAAAAAATATATTTAAATGATAAGCAATGCTTAAACAGGTAGTCCTACACTTCATTTAGTGACCATTCAAGTTACAATGACACTAAAAAAGTGACTTATGACCGTTTTTCACAGTTACGACCTTTGCAGTATCCCCATGACCATGTGAACAAAATTTAGATGCTTGGCAACTGGTTCTTACTTATGACTGTTGCTGTGTCCCAAGGTCATGTGATCAACTTTTGCTACCTTCTGACAGCAAAGTCAATGGGGAAGACAGATTCACTTAACAACCAGGTTACTAATTTATCAGTTGCAGTGATTCCCTTAACTGAAGCAAGAAAGAATGGGACAAAACTCACTTAACAACTGTCTCACTTAACAACAGAAACGTTGGGCTCAATTGTGGTCGTCATTCAAGGACTACCTGTACTACCAACTATTTGGTTCCACTCTGGTTTAAGACAAGAAACAGAACAGAGGACATTCATTATATCCTTATATTCACCAGGATATTCCTGGTGTATATAAGGAACACCTCACAAAACCTTTTCCTAATTTTAAGCAAATGAGTTACTTATTCTGGTAGGTTCTTGGCTGATTCACCTCAAACCTTCATTAGTTAACCAGGTTTGTAATTATATTGACTGTGCATTCACCTCTCCCATTGCAACCAGGGATCAAATAAGATGTCTTATCCTCAGAAGATTGTAAAGTGCCAATTGAAATAATTAGAAAAATAGATCTATAAAACCATAACATTGCCTCAACTACAAATCTACTTTGCTTCACCAAAACACAGGGATTGAATCTAATTCAATGGATGTAAGTTATGCCCAGTGATGGCCAAGCATATACAAATATTTATTTATTTATTATTAGATTTTACCCACCATTTCTTTATAAATAACTCAAGACGGGGCGTTGTCTTACCTGAACGCCTTTTCTCAGCAGGATGATGTAGAGTCCAAATGGATGGGTTCTATGACGGCCTTCCTGCCTGGCAGACTGGGTAAAAACTTCGGCCACACCCCTTCCTTTGGGCGTGACCCCAGTTTTGACTTAGGCGAGAAACTTTGTTGGAATTAACATTGCAGCTCTTTATTATATCATTATTATATCCCTGCCTAGACCTATCCTCTGGGTGGGCTTGGAGTCTACATCATCCTGCTGAGAAAAGGCGTTCAGGTAAGACAACGCCCCTTCTCCAGCAGGATGGCTGTAGAGTCCAAATGGATGGGACATACCAAAGCCCTCATGTCCCCCTGGGAGGGAATGTCTAGGCTACCGAACTCTGAGCAGATACGACTTGTTGAAGAACTCTTCTGCCAAAAGCCGCGTCTGCTGCTGCTAGGGAGTCTAAACGGTAATGTCGAATGAAAACCGAAGGTGAGGACCAGGTTGCGGCCCTGCAAATCTCTTCCACCGGAGCTTGCGTTAGCCACGCCGCAGATGTGGCTGCGCTCCGAGTTGAGTGGGCAGTCACCTGAGTGGGTGCTGGCAAATCCTGTGAGACGTATGCCTGTGCTATGCAGGCTCTGATCCACCTGCCTATGGTGGAAGGAGATACCTTCTTTCCCATAGTTGATGGTTGAAAGGACACAAATAATGCTTCAGTCTTTCGGAACGCCGAGGTGCGTTTCACGTAGAAACACAGCGCTCTCCGCACGTCTAGCTTGTGCCATCTGTGTTCTAGCCTATGTTTGGGTCTTGGACAGAAATCAGGAAGCGTAAGTTCCTGAGATCTGTGAAAGATGCTATTTACCTTCGGGATGAAGGTCGGGTCTGGTCTAAGAACGACCCTGTCTTTGAAAAAGGTACACAGATCCTTCCTTACTGACAGTGCTGCTAGTTCTGAGATTCTCCTTGCTGAAGTAATTGCCACAAGGAAAGCTACCTTCAGTGATAGGTGATGGAGTGAGCATGTTTCAAGAGGTTCGAAGGGTGCTGATGTCAAGGCTAGAAGAACCTTAGGCAGGTTCCAGGACGGGTACCTGTGTATGACTGGGGGCTTTGTGTTAGATGCCCCTTTTAAAAAGGCACTAATCGCTGGATGTTGTGCTAGGGAAGTTAAGTTGTCGCAGGAGAGTACAGTTGAGAGGGCCGATATCTGTCTGCGGATAGTATTGACTGACAGGCCCTTATTAAGACCCTCCAATAGGTAATCTAGGATGTTAGGGATAGATACTGCGGTCGGGTCTAGGTGAAGCGAAGCGCACCACCTACAAAATCCCTTCCATGTAGCGTCGTAAATCCTATTAGTGGACGCTCTTCGTGATGCCTGTATGATCGATATCACCCCTGCCGAATAAGATTGTTTAGTTAAGCTTTGCCGCTCAAATGCCAAGCGGCTAGATGTAGCCACTGGGGATCTGGGTGTACAAGCTTGCCCTGACTGAGTTTTACTCTGTCCGGGGGGATCCTCCACGGAGGTGATATCGACAGGTCCATGAGGTCGGCAAACCACGGGCGCCGTGGCCAGTGAGGGGCAATGCAGACCATCTCTGCGCCCTCCAGGATCATCTTGCGTATGGTCGCCGGTATTAATGGCAGCGGTGGGAAGGCGTACAGGAGTTGCGCCGGCCACCGGCACCTGAGAGCATCCGTTCCCTCCGATCCCGGGGACGGGAATCTGGAGAAGAACCTGGGGAGTTGTGTGTTCTTGTGGTTGGCAAATAGATCTAGTTGCGGTTGTCCGAACCTCCGGGAGATCTCCTCGAAGAGAACCGGGTCCAGATGCCATTCCGACTGGTCCACCTTGGCTCTGCTCAGGGACTCTGCCTGGGTGTTTGTCTCCCCTGAGATGTGTTCCGCTCTGATGGAACTCACATTGGTTTCTGCCCACCGAGCCAGAGCCAATGCTTCCTTCATTAGTTCCACTGATCTCATTCCTCCCTCCTTGTTTACATGTGCCTTGGCTGCTACATTGTCTGTTAACACGAGGACGTGCCTCCTCGTTACTAGGTGAGAGAAATGACGGAGGGCCAGGTGTATGGCCCGGAGCTCTAGCCAGTTGATGCTGTGTGACAGGTCCTCCTGTCCCCACTGGCCCTGTGCTATCTGAGTTCCCAGGTGGGCTCCCCATCCGAACAGGCTCGCGTCTGTCGTGAGTGTGACCCTGTTCGGTTCCCTGAATATGCTCCCCTTGAGTGTCGTGGGGGATAGCCACCATTTTAGTGATTTCATCACCTGTGCTGGTACCAGCACTCTCCTGTTGGAGGTGCTGAGGTTCCTCCTCTGGTAGGGTAGGAGGAACCACTGCAACTCCCTCGAGTGGAGCCTTGCCCATGGGATGATGCCCATGCAAGATATCATCTTCCCCAGGAGCTTCGAGAGTTGTAGCAAGGGCACTCTCCTGATCTTTTGAATTTGGTGAATTAGCTTGGATATGCTGATCAGTCGCTCCTGGGAAAGGTATACCCTGCACTGTGACGTGTCTATCATCGCGCCCAGGTGTTGCAGTCTCCTTGAGGGAATGAGGTGGCTCTTGTTTAGATTGACCGAGAATCCGTGCCCCTGTAGGGTTCGGATTGTGGTTTCGAGATCTGCCCTTGCTTGTTCCCGAGATCTGGACTGAATCAAGATGTCGTCCAGATAAAATTGAACGCGAACCGGGATCAACCTGAGATGGGCCGCTATTACAGCTAGGATCTTGGTGAATACCCTTGGTGCTGATGATAGTCCGAAGGGTAATGCCCTGTATTGGTAATGCCGACCCGCGTAGGTAAATCTGAGGAATTTCCGGTAGCTGGGATGTATGGGGATGTGTAGGTACGCCTCTGTGAGATCTATTGAGGATAATAGATCGTCTTCCCTGACGCTGGCTAGGATGGATTTCAAGGAGTGCATCTTGAACCTCCTGTACTTTATGAAATAGTTCAGGCCCTTCAGGTCCAAGATTGCTCTCCACCCTCCTGATGTCTTTGGGATAACGAAGAGGATAGAATAAAATCCTCTTCCCTCCTCTTCCTTTGGTACCCTCTCTATGGCCTGAATTGACAGGAGGTGGGCTATGGCCGAAGTTATCAGCCTTGTCTTGTGTACTCTTCTGGAGATGGGACATCTGATTAACCAGTTTGGTGGGGGAGAACAGAAGTCTAAGGTCAGGCCATGCCTGATC